GTAATGGTGTACATTATTATTTATTATATATTATACTATACGACCGCAAACCGTCTCGTTCCAATCCGCGTGCGCGACAATTTCCTGGTTTGATCAACAATCAAGGTGAACGACTCAATAATAATACYAAAATAGACTCTTAGTTTTTTTTTTCATTATTTCTCGTTATATTTTCTTTGGGACATTCTGTCGATTGACCCGCACGCTAGGCTCGCCAGTACGATCCGGAGTGCGTTTAACGACTATCATCTTTGGTCTTATATTATAATATTACAGTACTCTTCCGCGTCAGTATAACAGCACGCGTATTTCGAAAATATCTAAATCAAAATAAAATAATAACCATACACGATATCATATAGGATAATTTGCCGGCGTTAAGGTAAGCGAACATTTTAAATAATTTTCTTGTTTCCGATGTATATATATTTTAACGAATAATTTTATCGCCCACACTCAATTTAAATAAAATAAATATTTAGTCTTTTTAACATATATTAAAAGTAAACGGAATAGAAATAGAAGATACAATTTTAACATTTCATAAAATACATAGTATAGTTTTTTTTATAATTCTTTACATTACAAATTATAATTATTTATTTCTTTAATATTATAGAGCCTATAGGGCTATAGATATTAGGTATGAAATTTAAAAAATTATATTTTTATTTCAGTAAATTTATTGTATTAATACCAAATCAACTGTTTAAATAATATCTGTACTAGTACTATTACGTTTAACACGAATAATAATACATGTTTACACGTGTGTCAAATCATGATTAGTAGTTTCCAATTATACATTTATACCTATATAAAACAAAAAGTAATGAATAGAAGCACAAATGAACAATTCAAAACCACTGTAATCACTAAATGTTTACATAGAGAAGGTACCTACCGGGAGCGAACTGACGCAACTATTCGGCCGGATATATCTATATTTTGACCAGCCCTTAGCATTTTGTCATCACAAAATATAAAAAAAAGCGGGTAAGTGGATGTCGCTCTGCTGTACATTAGGGGGTGGGGTGGACCTCTGGTAAGTTAAATTTGAATGCAATGATAGGTATCATTGTATACGAAAAATGATTCTGAACGGAGACGGTTTATCTGTCTAGGATATAATATAAATTATTAAAAATTTTCAAATCTTAGATTTAAAAAGAAAATT